ACCTGCAATAGACATTAATAAGATGGGCGTCTTTTCTTTTTTTTTAAATTTAAGCCTACCCAAGCCAAAATACCAATAAACTGAATTCCAAGGAAAGGGGAAAATAAGTTGGGTATTCCTCTTCAGATAAAAGGATAACAAATTAGCCCAAACTTACTCATACACTTATTTCCTGTAAGTCTACAGAAACTGCTTGTACACTAATCACATTCCCCCAAACAACCGAAAGCAATTCAGTAAACTCTCACTTAAATGACCTGGGCCTGCTCATGGGTTTTTGTTTTGCAAATAACACACTTCATTTTTACAAGTGAACAAATAGTCTAGATATTTTAAACTCCTCACATTTAAGAAGGGAAATTGGGATAAAAAGCAAGGAAAGACACAATATTTTAGTTTGTAAAATTGGTTTATTTACAATTTGGTAGTTTAAAATTGTATTTGGAATTTTAATTTTTGTATATTTCCCTGGCAGGCATTCTATTTTTTCTTAAATACGGAGGCAAAGGATAGGACACCTGAGTAAATTTGAATTTAAGAGATTTACCTGCTGCTACAGTCAGTAAAATTTAACTTTTAATCCCTGAGAATTAAAGTCAAAAATATTTTCATACATTCAAATGTAAAAAGCATATTAAGAACAGAAAATAAAGGATAAAATAAAGCTACTATAATTAAACCTCCCCACATGGCAATATAAGTCCCTCCTTCACAATTAACTGAGGGGTGTGCGCACAATGCATTTAGTTATTAGTTATTTACTAAGATGCTCTATCCTCAGTTTTTTTGTAGTTTCTCCCCTTTTAAAAAGTATTCCTAGAAACTGATACACAATTTATTCAAATAATAGAAATGCCCACTGCTAGCCCAAACCTTCCCCCCTAAATTTTTGTGTATGATATAGAGTTAGGGATTTTCTTTATCTATTGCAACCTGAGGCCCAAACTGTTTTTGCAAAGTCACTTTGGAGCAAGTCGCTTCAGTTTCCTCAAATATCAAGTGAGGATAATTATAGCTCCCAGGGATGTATAAGGCTGAACTGATATTCCTACACCACAAGGTCTGTGATGCTCTCTTCGGAAGGAGCGATGCTCTGGAACACACGTTATAATACATCCTGCTGCTCCTGATTTTAAATGACTAGTTAACACTCCTAAAATGTCAGCTTTCTATGGAGGAGTAAACATTACTTCATTGGTTCACTCATTAAACTTCCTTGAGATGCAAAGGAATGGCAATTATGCCCCTCCTCCAAATATATGAAATGCAGCCAGATATTAAGGATGTCACCACAGCAAAACAGTAAGGCAAAGTCAAACCAAACAAACCAAAGCCTTTGCAGTCAGCTGCAATTTTCTTATGTGTGCGCAACATGCTGGCAGTCATCTTTCACGTTGGACAGTGTTAAGATCATTAATGACAAGTATTTATTTGCCTGATGGCCCAAAAGAAATGCAATGTAATTCAAATTTTTAAATCAACAATGAAACAAAGCCACCAATACCCTTTCTTCAACTCTCTTAACGCTCTCTCCAAAACAGAAAATAATCCAACTGGTCTCCCTTTCTCTAAGAGACCAATACTAACGCCAGCTGGAAACATCCTCTAGTCCTAGTTGCAGACAACCTCGAAGTTCCAAGAATATTTATTTGTATAGTTGTTGATTCCAAGAGGGAGAATTTTACAGAAATTCAAACAATATAGCATTAATCAATTTAAGAAAGAGCTTAAAAGGTTTGATAAAAGAGAATGAGAGGAAACTATAATCTGCTCTGAGGAAGTCAGATCTGGACAACCTATTTGAAATTTAAATTGCTGCTGTAGCATCAACTTTCAATTTTATACATAGTGCACATCTCTTAAAAATTTATTTCTAAATATATTGGCTTTCTTGGTTGGTCGGCTGGCTGGTACCTTTCCACTGGCTAGCGAAAGCAGCAGTAATGGAGGTCTGTGGCACAGTCTATAAGACTGGGCTGTGTCTGGGAACTCCCACACTGCTCGCTTGCTTCGGCAAATCCCACTTCTGCCGCAGGAAGCCACACAAGTAATTCTGCTGCTGCCGGCGGCAGGAGGGGTGTAAATAAAAATGTGAGGTAGTTCTTTCCACAAGAGGGAAATATTTGTCTACATAATACCCCAGCAATGTCTGACAAATTACTAGAGTATCTGCTTGCCGTCATCTGTAAGTGAACTCTTCGCTCACATTAACTGAACTTGATGAATCACGAGCTAGTTGCTGTTCACAGGCCTTATTTTCTGATCCAGCCATGACAGGAGGGGACGCTAAAACCTCCCAAAACGTGAACCATCGAGACCACCCAGTCCAAGAACTGCAGAAGTATAAGCATTAAAGAGCATGTGGGGAAGCCAGTGAGAGCACCCAAGAATAATTCACCAGAACCTGTGTGTAGACTGGTGGGGAATAATTCATAGACTCTGCTCCCACAGCTTAACTGTCACCTTGAAGGTAAAAAAAAAAAAAAAAAAAAAGATTTGAAGTTCTAGCATGATAGAGAGAGAACATGGCAGATGCTTGTAAAGGAAAATTAACGTAGAAATACTAAAGGTAAAGGAACAGAATATCCTGAGAAGAGCAAGAGCTGCCTACCAAAACTTTCGTCTTTCTTACCTGAAAATTGCACGTTTATATTGAATGAACAAAAAATCAATTATTGCTGAAAATATTTGCATTCTCTACTCTCTCCAGGCTCCCAGACCAAGAATAATATTAGAAATAGATCAGGAGTAAAATTACAGTTAGAAAAGGGGAGAAAAGTACGGTAGGACATTAAAATTTTATTCTGAAATTATCTCTGGCCACGACAATAAAATTTAACAAAAATTCACTGAACAGTCTTACTCCTGTCATCAGCTGTACAATACATACAGTATCATAGAACTGGCCACTGGGATCAAAATCCCCTAGAACATGGTTCATGTAAAGTGGCGACAGCAGCATCTCACAGAAGGTTTTACATACATATATACACAGTCCACATTCAACCATTATCACAGATTTTCAGTACACACAGTTGCAGCATATTACAGTCACGTGTCTAAGTTGTTGCTCGATAAAAACCCAAGCCACTGCCTAGACATAACTGTAGCAGTTGAGCTGAGTATAGTTACAATTAATTCTATATGTCCATAGCAGAGAGATGTACAGGCCCCTAAGAAATAAAGAGTTCACAAATACTTTTTTTTTAAATGCTACCACAGCATTGTGTTGGGCAATATTAAAACCTTTACCAACCAAATCAGTTTTTTTAAAAAGTCTTCTGCTTACCAGAAATATTCTTGATGAAAAAAATTACAAAATGAATGCTCTCTTTAAAATAATTCACACTTTTAAGATTCCAATATGGCCCAATACTACTGATGCCTAAAGTGTTTCCTCACATTCTGATGGAGTCCCTTCACACGACTCCAAACCACCCAGTAAGTTTAAAAGTGGCTTAAGTGCCTTGCACCCAAATTGTAAAAATCCCTGGCCATCCTTGCTAGAGCCAGGCACATATAAAAGGAATGCACTTTGGTTCATACCAAATGCCCTGGGATTAATCACACTATAAAATTAAATGGTTTGAGGTAAATTTTTACAAATACAGTTGATTTTTGTCTAGTGTAAGCATAACAAAAAAATATCATTTAAAAAATCAGTCTGATGTTATGATACAACAAAGACCATCTTTAACCCCTTAAACCGGAGTTCCCTGTGTCACTAACCAACAAATGGTACCTTCTTCAGTGCCTGATGACGATTCACGCCTTACGGTTTCTATTAAGGCCTGTAAGTAACTGGATATTTAAGACAGGTGTATCTTTGCAGAGGTGGGATCCATCCTTACTGTCTAGTATTCGAAGAGTTAAAGAGGCCAAAAAATGCATGTCCTACAACATGGCATTCAGAACAAAAGGCACATTGTTAACACTAAGGGCACAGTTTCTCCTCTACTGTTAACCTACGCTGTCTCGAATCACTGTTGTTGTTCCACTGTTGTAGCAATACACCTAAGTGGCAATGCACACTCTGGTGGTGCAAGAAACAGAGCCAGGTGAGACTGCAACCAAAGACAACACGGCACTGTGCTACTCCTAAGTCTGAAGACAGCCCAGACATCCCTAGACAGCGGCAACCTGTGAGACCAAGGACTGTTGCCAAGCCAACTCCTGGCAGCCTATCAGAGCCCTTCATTCATGTACGTTTGGAAATCAACAAAGATGCAACGTTTTTCTCTTTTTGACATTATAATGAAGCCAGAATTTTCAAAAAGCAGCTCTATCACTAAACACTGAACATGGTGGCTCTTGTGAATAAAGGAAATTTCACTGCACTGGGGAGAGTGGGGGGGACCCCCACAGCACTGCACGTTATAGTTTGGCTTCAAAGTTTCCGGTTACATTTGTGAACAAAGATGGTCACAAATGCACTGTTGGCATCTCCCAGTTTTGTGTGGTGGGGGAAAGACATGCAGTATTAGCCGATTTATAAATTTTCACATGTATAACCAATTTATAGGGAAATTCATATTAATGGCAGGCTCAGGTTTGTATATTTAAACCAAAATGTGCAAATGAGAGTGGACATGGAAGACAAGCATTGCAGGGGTAATGCAGCCTTTATGCTTTGTTTATTTTCATGACCTAAAGAAGCTAACCATCAAGAGGCTTGTGGTTTTATATAGCCACCACACCAAGTCTTACAGTTCTTATGCCTTTAAGCCAAGATTTCAATAATAAATACACAATCTTTAAGTTCTATAAGCCACTCATTGGGGGTATCATCACATGAGCATCATTTAAAATGCAACTTACTAACATATTATTGCACTCCACAGATTACACAGAAATGTGTACAATATGCTAAAGAATTTGACTAGGGGAAAGAAGCTATAATTTCTAAATACAGAAGTACAAATTAACTTATCTGTGACACCCTTAAATAGTAAAGCAAATATCAACATCACTATCTTATTAATAAGCTAATCTTATTACTGTTTTTTTGGCAAATATCTGTAATATTTCCTGAGCATTTTTCTCCACCATCAACTGACAAAGCCTCAAGATAAGTAAAGTGTTTTTTGTTCAAAACTAATTTTTTTTTTTTTTTTAAGTAAGAGAAACTGTAGGATTAATAGTAAAAGAGCTTAACCGGAAACTTTCTTGGCCTCACAGGGGACCATGCTTTAAGTATTTGTAAATCAATTTACAGGCAATACAATAATATCTGTGCATATAAAAGAGTATTTATCCTAATTTATACTACCCAAAACCTATTGTCCAAACAGGCAGAAATCTTTCTATATTAAATTGCACATACTAAAAAATTTTTTCCACGTGCCTTGAAATTGATATATATCACTGCTCATACCTTAGCGATAAAATACTGAAATTTTCACTGTGAAAATAATTATTATTCAAAGAAGAAAATATTCTTTTACCTAACTCTCAGTTACTTTTCCAGGTAAAGTGTCATTCCCACAAAGCAATCAGTGCAATCCAAAAGAAAGTAAAGTAAAATAGAGGAATGCAATTTCTGCGGTTCTTCTAATGATGCAAAGAATAAGTCAAACCATTTAACTTGAGGTTGAACTTTTCCTCTTTTAAATGTGTTGCTAAAATCGGCCTTACTGAACAGCCACAATGACTTCTGTTCATCAAGAGGATTTTCAACCCTCTTCCTCGTTAAAGAAGGAATTGATGCTCTCCCAGGCTAGAGAACCTTCCAAGGGCACCTAAAACGTGTGAACTCACTGTCACCTGCTGAACCTTCTCTGGAACTATGGAAATGCCCACCTTAAGTAGCTAGGCTGCTGTTCTTTTTTTAATTGGAATATGAAACGATGATCATAATCACAGCCGAAATGTCTCTCTTCTGTATTAAGAGTCCGGGATATATATTTGAAGGAAAAAAAAAATGAAATGCAAGCAACAGGTGGTAAAAGAGGAACAGAGAGGAGAAAAGCAGAGAAGGGAGGATTCATGGAACACATTTCTAAACTCAGGTGCAAAACCAATTCTGTAATATGAGGCTTCTTTACACAACAGCTCACCAATCATGTTAGAAAATTTAGAGGAGCCCACACATTTCCAATTATCCAGCAGGTCTGCTTGGCTGGCTTTGAGGATGTCAGAATGCGAACTGGTCATTGAAACCTGGGGGGTTTCACTTTGTGTGAGCATGACTTTAAGAAAAAAATCTCCAAGGTGCAGTTTTTCTTAGAGTATCATTTCCATCCTGACCATTCTCCGCCCACCATCACTACGACCCAGATAACTGACGGAAACGCACAGGACACGCTGCACCTTTGCAAGAACCTGGAGCACAGAGAGCAGGGGGCCATCGGGGGCAATCACCTTGGGGAGAATACGAACCAGGAAAACATAGTGAACGTCTCTGACAGCAATCTGTAAGAGCGCGGCAGTCGTGAAGCCATCAATGGCCTGCCACTGATGTTTATTACTCTGCCGCACTAAATACGGTGAGGCGGATCGTACTTTTAGAACACAAAAAATTTCAGAAAGTATAAAACTTAAAGCATTGTCCCCGTGTATTTTATAAAAACAAAATGAACAACTTTCTTACATTAAAATAAGTGCTGAAAAGATACAAATGAGTCGAGTTATTGAGCAAATAAAAACAGGTCTGAGCTACTCCTTTTCAACCCAGTAAGGCTCAGCAACGTCGTATCTTTCAGATTACCAGCCTCAGGGACTCAGCTCAGCTCACAAGTTTTGGCAACACTGTCCTCTGCTGAATATTCCCATTGGCATCTGTCATCTGTACCAAGTTCGTCCTCAGTTTGGAGGCTGAGCTGGAAGGTGGAGGTAACTTGGAAATGGAAGTGATAGCACCAGTGCCCTCGGTTACCCTTTTCACAGACGTCTTCTCCCCCGTCGGAGGCTTCGGCAGCCGCCTCCTCAACCAGGGGTGCCGTAAAGCCTGGCCGGGGGTCATGCGAACCCCAGGATCCCACTCTAAACACTGTTTTAAGAAGTCGAGGAAAAGGGGGTCATCACACCCCTTCAGTGCGTTCCCCCACTCTCTGCTCTCGGGCGGGCCCCTCAGCTTCCCCCTCCGGGAACGGCCCCCATTGAGGACGACGGAGCCGTCGGAGAGAGTGGTGACAGTGCAGTAGCGAGGGTAACCCTTGGAGCTCACGAAATTTTTGGCTCGTTTGGAGGCATCCAGCAGTTTCTGGGAGGGCATGCCCAACAGTTCAATCATGCAGGCCAGCTGGTCCCCTTCGTCCTCCCCAGGCAAGAGCGGGTAGCCAGTCAGGAGCTCTGCTAAAATGCAGCCCAGGCTCCACATGTCGATGGGCAGGCCGTACCTGGCGCCAAGGATCACCTCCGGAGCCCGGTAAAAGCGAGACTGAATGTACGTGTAGACACGCTGATGCTCATAACAGCTGGAGCCGAAGTCGATCACCTTAATACCGCTTCTACCCTGCTGCTTTAACAGAATGTTCTCGGGCTTAAGGTCACAGTGGATTATTCTGTTTTTGTGCAAAGCATCCAAGCACTGCAGAATCGAGTGGGCGAACTTGCGGACCAAAGGCAGGCTGAAGCCCTGGAATTTATTCTTCTTGATGAGCTCATAGAGGTTCATGCTCAGCAGCTCGAATGTCATGCAGATGTGGTTGCGGAAGGTGAAGTTCTCCAGCATGTGGATGACGTTCATGCTGTTGTCTTTGTCCTGCTTGCGCAGGTGCTCCAGGATGCGGATCTCCTCTGCGGCCTGCCGGTGGAAGCGCTTCTCGTTCCGCACCATCTTCAGGGCCACGTGCTGGTGGACTTTGTGGTCATAGGCCTTGACCACCTGCCCAAAGCTGCCCTTCCCGATGACCTTGAGGACCTCGTACCTGTAAGCCACATGGTCGTGGGGCACCTGCACGTACGATCCCTGGTCATCATCGTAGCCACCGTTGTTGGGCCCGCCTGTCATGCCCTGGCGCTTCTTTGCGTTTGGACCCAAGAAATAGATTTCAGGGTAGCTGAAAATCTCATGGTGTTCGAAGGCGGTGAGTTTTTGCATGTATTGCTTCATTGCCTGCTCGGGGGTCATGGGGGCGGCTTTCCCCTTCCCCACGCCCTCCATAGACTTCAGAGAGGTGGAGCTCCCCTGCCGTCTGTGGATGCTCTCCAGCTGCCGCTCCGGCACCACCGGCAAGCCCGTTTTGCCCACTGTTGTAAGCCCATTTGGTTGTGTTGTGAGCACTGTCCGCTTGTTACTATTATCCTCAAACAGCTGCTGAACCTGGATCTGCCCGTGGCTGTGGCTGCCAACATGTAGGTGATCATTCATTGTGTGCTTACTGCCGCCGATCTGGAATTCAGAAAGGAAACGTGAAAAGATGGAAGAGGTCTGTCTGCCCAAAGGGGGATGTTACAAGTCAGCCGCCACCCCACCTGTACAACATCCAACTTGGTTTGAATTTACAGTCAGAATCAGGCTCACTAAATGCAGAGAGCTGTGCGCCCAGGAGGGACCTCATGAACACTCTGACGAGGACAGTGGACATGAGGCTGACAGCCTCTGACAAATAGAAGGAAAACGTTAGCAGGCTGGGTAAGGCTATGAAACTTGGAATGCCGGAAAAAGGACCCTGCCACTGCTACACCTAACAGACAAGCACATTGCTGTACATCCTCAGGGTCCTGAGAGTAAGTTGCCAGAGTGGGCAGAGAACGTCTTTCCTGTTCATCACTCTACACCTGACACTTAGCACAGGGCCTAGCACATCACCGGTGTTCCACTCAACCCATACTTGATATAAAAGGGAAACAGAAGACAGAAAAAGCATGAATACAGACTCTATACTGGCTCCTCCTCCGCCAGATCATAACACCTTTCACACTTCATTCAGAAGCTTCATTTTCACCATGGGAGCAGGGACCTCGTCTGTCTTGTTCACTTCTCCTTCTCCAAGGTTCAGCTAGCTCTGTCCTGAGAACACTAGGATCTTCGTTCTCAGTCTTCTCCACTACTTGGAAATCTAACTGATTACACCTAGGAAAACGCATGATCTAGTGGTAAAGAAAACTGCACTTTTAGGCCTGTAAGATTCCCACGTAGATATGCACTGTAGCATCTTGGAAACCCCTAACCTATTTTGAAGTTTCTGGGCTTCACTGACTGTGATGACCATTTAAGGCCATTCAGCCCAACAAACCAACCGCCGCATGCTCTGGGCCTTCCTTTGGTCAGTGGCTCAGCTCTCCTAAGACATGTATTTCTCTGGGCTGCTGGGAGACGCAGCTTTCCAACAAGGACTACAAAGTAGTGATTTCTATTTCGGGCACACATGCCACCCCTGAACATTCCTGTCTCGACATAACTGATGGTGTAAGCCAAGGGCCCAGCCCTCCTGAGAATCTACTTGGGATTTCTTCCAAGCTTTATCATTGCACAGAGGGGAGGGTGGGAGAGGACTGGCAGCCAGGATCCCCTTCCTGTTAGGAATTCTCGTCAGCCTCAGACAACCACCCACGAGTCTTAGAGCTTCCTGCTAGGTGATTTTTATAAGAAATCTTAGAGATCAATTTGTCATTCACAATCCATCTCATTCACTCAACCAATACTAGCTGAGGTCTAGCCGCATAAGTGGCAGCGTCCCTGCCCTCTAGGAGCTAACACTCAACTAGCTGAAGTCCTTCGTCGCCAGTATTTTTTCCATTATCTCCTTCTAAATCATACCTCTTGGGCTTTATACACTAGCAAGAGCAGACGTGCTCTGAGTATGTAACACAGAGACACAGGAAATGGCGTGGGACCATCTGGATCATCAAATGAAATGCCAAGTCCTTCTCACTAACAGACCAAGGCCTTCAAGTTTCCCTTAAGTGACACGTAGCATGCATGGTGACCATCTGAGGGATGAGCATTCTCTCTGCTTGCGTCTAAAAGTAGAACTGAGTATAGTACTCGGGCTTGTCTGAAGTGTGATTTCACAGACTGAGGGAACTGATTTCTCAGACAGTTTTGGAAGCCTTTTGGTTGAACTCCTTTATTAGACTCATAGCTGATACTGCATGCTAAGTGAACATATCTTCTGCCAGGGTAGGTGGACAGGTTATTTTATCCTCATTCTGTGCCCAAAGCTGAGCAGTCCATAAAAACGCATTAGGAAGGTCCTGGGCATATATAAAAGTCGTACAGGCTCGTCATTGCTTTTGTTCCCAAGCCTCAGTCTGCACTCTTCTCCCCACTGTGGTCTTTCAAGCACCAGGGAATAAAAGGATGTGAAATTCAAAATATCCCTATTCTAGAGCACCATTCTCTTCAGGGCAGGATGGAGAGGTTTCAGAGGAAAAACCGACATGACCAGCATTCATGCTACAAAAAGCATGAGGCTTCATTAGGGACAAGGTTAACCTTGGGGCCCTAGGAACGTCTAAAAGATAGCAAAGTAAAACTTCTTGAGCATCAGAAACTCACTTCAACTTTTGCAATTGTAATTTTAATGTTTTGCATAATTTAAAATACAGTCACAGAAGTTTAGTGACTAGAATTAAAGAGAGCTTGCCAATTTACTGGATCACCTCCTGCCTCTCCAACTGTCTTCCCCTGGTCTCCTCTGCCGAATCAATTACTAGTTCATCTACCTGTGGGTGGGTTCAAGGGTCCCAGGGTTGAAGGCTCAACTCCCCTGGCTTCTCACTCCACAACTCTCCCTGGTTGGTCCCGACCACAGCCCGGGCTTCCACAACCACCATGGCTGACGTCTCTGCATCTACACCTCTAGCCAGCCCTGCCTAATCTCTGGGCCTGAACTCAAGACCCTCATGTCCAACCACTGTCAGCTGCCTTTCCCACAGGCAACTCACACACAACTCATGATTTTTCTACTAGAACTGTTTCCTCCTCCCATAACCCTCAATTTCTGATAAACAAAAGGCTTCACTTGCACATAGTTGCTCGAGCTGCACACCTGGAAATCCTTCCACGTGCCCTCCCCTTCCCGAGTCATCACTAAGCCTCGTCGTTTCTCTCCATCCCCCTCCCTCTCCACCAACCCTGCCTCACCTCACCCTCCTGCTGTCCTTCACTGGACAACCGAAGCAGCCTCCTCACGTGCTTCTAAGTCTAGAATCCCTCAAACCCCTTCCCCACATAGTACTTCTACAACTACCACTGACAAGCGTCACTGACTGGGCCTTTGCTTGTGCTCAAGGCCCAAAACTGCACCCCATTTACAGATAATACAAGGGCGCACAGGCAAGAGCACGAGGTTCTGACGCGGAGAGGATGAATGACCCGATTCCCTCCAATGTCGCCCACGCTCTGACTGTTCTCCCCGACAGTAACAACGCTGGTTCCCCAAGACCCGGGGAGACCCAGGCTCTTCCACGCTCCTCTGCTTTTGATGAGCTCATGTTCCATAACGGCTAGGAGGCCCGGGATTGTCAGTGAGACACACGGGAAATGAGTCCCAGCTCCACCACTTACTAACTGTGTGAACTTGGGCAATTTATGTAATGTCTCTGTAGCTCTGTGTCCTTATCTGTAAAAAGAAGGTAAGAAAGCTACCTCACTGGCGCTACTAGGAGGATTAAATAAGTGGTTAGACTGTCCTGAGTAAAGGAGAGCTACTATTATTGTCCTTTCCAAATGCTGCTTGGACTTTCCTTCCTAACCACGTCTCCATGGCAAACTCCTACTCACCCTTCAATGTCCAGCTCAACTCTCACCTCCTCTGTGAAGCTTTTCCTTTCCCTTCCACTGTGCTTATAGAGCACTGATACATTGTAACACTTATTTCATTTTACTGTAATTGTTTTAACACCTGATGTACCCACCTGGCTGTGAGCAATTCCAGGGTGGGGTCACCTCTTATCTTTGTGAGTCCCTATTAACAAACTCAAACATACAGTAAGCACTCAATAAATATCTGTTGGATGGAAGAACATGTGTCAAGAAACGCTTGTTAACTCTCACCTCTGAGTTATTCTTGAAAACTTTGTATCTTCATAAGAAAACGTGAAGTTAACGCCCAGGGAATTGGGAATAATCCCTGATGACCTAAGTCACAAGATCTTGCCACCAGCAGAGACTTGGAGACAAATGACAGCCGGTTAAGAAGTACCGATAGCAAATACATCAACTCAACACCTAAAATCGACAAGTCTTTAAAACTTCCCAGATGTTAAGGAGATTCATCTGAGAGGCTCTAGGAAAGAAGGACTTAGTCTCAAACACTGCAGAACTCTAAAATCACAACCAAACTCACAACCAAGTGCAATTACCTGATCTATAAAAGTGGGGGGGAACCCCTAGAAAAGCCAGAACAGTTCCAGGATATATATGCCAGGACTACATCATCAACTTAAGGATATTAAAAACTCCCACGCAGCCTCTTGAAGTCTGAGATGGGGGCTTCTCCCCATTTGCCACTGTCTACCTAGCACACATGTGCTGTCACATGTGAAAACACACACTGAACGAATGCAATCCGTAGACACCTACAATGCAGGGGTTAAAACAGAGAGAACTACAGAAGCCTTCTCTGATCATGAAATATTTTGGTATTAAAAATTATGTGAGAATTGGGGCCGGCCTGGTGGCACAAGCGGTTAAGTGCGTGCGCTCCGCTGCGGCAGCCAGGGGTTTGTTGGTTCGGATCCCGGGCGCGCACCAACACACCGCTTGGCAGGCCATGCTGTGGCGGCGTCCCACATAAAGTGGAGGAAGATGGGCACAGATGCTAGCCCAGGGCCAGTCTTCCTCAGCAAAAAAAGAGGAGGATTGGCAGATGTTAGCACAGGGCTGAGCTTCCTCACAAAAAAAAGAAAAAAAAAAAATCATTTAAGAAAAACAGTCTAACCAGTTTGGTAGTTTTAATCTCTTCCAATAAGAAAATGGAAAATAGCAGATATTTCGCTGTGCTAACATTTCTGGGCATTTCAAAACTTCTCTGAAGTCATCTTACAAATGCTGTAGTGTTATGGGAATAGAATTGAGTCCAAAAAGACTGGAATGTTAGCTCCTCCTCAAACACACTGATGGTCTGTGTGGCCCTGCGTCAAATGTCTACTTTCTTCCTCAAAACGTTACTAGTTTTTAAATGGGAATATTCCATCTTCTTTAATTCCAATTATTTTATAAAGGTAAAACTGGTAACTGGAGAGTGCTTTAAACATAAAAACAGTTATGAAAGTGATACAATACCAATATTTGGGAATTTTATAAAAAATAAGTATATTAATATCTCCCATACAACATTAAAAGAAAAAAACTAACAGGAATCAAGATAGTTGTTGGGGACACTCTTAGGACAAACAGAGATAAACAAAACGACTAAGTGTACAAAATACCTCCATGGAGACAGAGAACTAAAGGGCAATGGACTAGATAGGGTCCAAAGTTCCTTGTCTTTATAACCATATATGTACCCACCTACTACATCATTTACAAGGGCACGTGGGCAAGCTCCTACGACAAGATCCTTTTCCTCTCCTTAATGCCCCTTTACCCGACTCATGCTAAAAATATTTCTTCACAGGTGTAACTGCTGTGGAATTAAAAACTAAAAACTCATAAAAACCTGAAAGGCAATTGGGAATATGGAACTGTAAAGGTTTTTGCATTTATAATGAAAATAATACATTTTCCTAGAATTAGTAGTGTGGAGCACTAGGTTAAAGCCAGACTCAGGAGGGCCTGGGCTTCAGCTCCAGCCTGGGTCTGAACTGGTCAGAGAACCCTGAGCAAACCAGCTAACCTGTCCAACTGTGTCCTCCTCTGTAAAACGAAGTAGAACCAGGTAAAGCTGTGGTCCTTTTCAACAATCCTGTTCTACGAAATACGCAATGTCGTACAAATAAAATCAAAACTAAACAACAATCAAAACCCAAACTCACACTTTCAAAACCAAGCCTTTAATGATTAACAGCATACTGAAGTTTATAGGTAAGTTAAAACAGGTAAATCAGGCAGATACCACAGCAAAATACACGCATCCATCCTTAGGAATCCTGAGAACCCTCACGTCTTCTCATTTCCACTCCGGGCTATTCCCCCAGTGGACACCTTTCGTCCTCTCTAATCTCATTACATACTTCAATTGTAAAGAGGCTCTGATCAAGCAAAGCCCACTCTTATAAAACTGGAATCCAGATGCAAACCAAGTATTTTTTTCCCAGGTCACACCAAGTCATGTGATTACATCCACACATGGAAAAAAATTAGATGTTTTATTTTCCAAATTGTCAGATGAGTCCAAACCAAATAAATCAACCCAAATCCCGAGAACCAATGGCAATCCCTCAACTAAAACATCTCCATGACAGGAACATTCAACCATAACATACGGAGTCAACCACCCTACTGACAGATTCTCTTCTGCCATCAACAGTCCAACACAGACTGGTTAGCTTCTGGGTAATGCATTCTTAGCCCCTGGGTCTAGATGTCTCAGAAAAAAGAAACAGAGGGAAGGAGAGACAGACAGAGGGAACAGAATAAGGACAAAACGTTTTCCTATGCAACTCATACACATCTGTCCAGATCCAAGAGGAGGTGATCCCCTCTAGCACCCTTTCACAAATTCTAATAAACAAGTTTCCCCAAACACAGGACCCTCAGAGCTGCCCATCTGTAGGCTACAAATGGCCTTGTCAACAAGCACTCAACTTTCACTTAGCAAACAAAGCCACATCCTAGCAAGCATCCCTCACACAGAACCATCTTAGGCCGTTCCTCTGGAAGATCCAGGTGGAACTAAGACCCCGGCAACCTCCGAGTGCACACCTCCTCTAGGTTGGCAGGCACCATCCAAGGGCGGTCTCTGGGAGCTGAGAAAAGGTACATGCTGAAGTCAAAGCCAGCCTGTCAATCTCTGCAGCCTCCTGTCTCACGCAGGGCTCTCCCTCCCTCCTCGCCTCCTCGCCGACGGAGGGACCACAGCACCTGTCAGGTGCTCTTCCCTTCCCACTCCCAAAGCAAAGCTGGCCTTTTCCTTGTGAATAATATCCAAGTGCTGAATCCTACAGGGGCAGCTTGTTGTTTTGACTGCTGCTGTGGCTCTTATTTTTGTTAATGTTAATTACAATTTCTGCCATGCTCAAACCTGTGGCACTCATAAAACATGCTTCCACACGCGGGGACAATTGGCGGTGCTCCCTACCGGCTGGAGCCAGGCCTGGGAGGCTCTTTGGGGGATCGATTTTCCGGGCAGGCCGGCCTGGCTGTCCCCTCACACACATCTGTTTCTATAAATACCCACTGCCCGCCGCGGTGGGGGGCGGGGAGGGATGTTTACCCGGCCGGGAAAGGAGCTCTGGGAAGCAAGGACGAAGAGAGAGGGAAGAGCGAAGGAGAGCGGCAGGAGGAAGTCCGGGGAAGAGCAGCCCAGGGTGGGCGGGCTCCGGAGGGGAAGTGAGGGGCCCACGCCACGAGTCCTCCTTTGTGGCTGCAGCTTGGGGCTCGCCCAAGTTCGAGGGCGGCGTCCCGGAGAGGCCACTGGCCGGGGGCGTGGAGACGCTCGCCCCGCGACCTCGCGGCCCCGCGCCCGAGGCCCCCCGCGGGCTGGCTCTCACCGTGTGCGCTGCGGCGGCAGCGTTGCTGGCCCGGAGAGGCGGCAGGGCGATGGGGGAAGGCGGGCCGGTCCCCACTCCGCTGCGGGGGGCCCCCGCGCCGAGCCCCGGGGAAGCCTGGAGCTGACGCACGGCGCTGTCCCCTCCTCGGCCTGGGAACCACGCGGGGAGGAGACAAAAGAGGGTCAGCGGGGAGAAAGTCACCCAGACCGCGCCGCCCCGCCCCACCCCTGCGGGCCGCGAACCCCGCTCTCCCCGAGGAGACGGGGACCCCGAGAGCCGGCGTCTGGGGAGGGAAGGGGCGCGGGCGCGGGTCCCCAGCGCGCAGCGCGCGCCGGGCTCCGGCGGCTGCAAAGTTAAGTCGGGCCGGGCGCGAG